CTACATTCTTCCTTAATGAATAAGCCCTTCCTGGCTTCTCTGCTGCTTTATCTCTAGCTCTCTGTTTGTCACCCCCATCATTCTTTCTATTTTTGCCTAGATTTCTTATTTTCTTGTTGCGAAGTCCCTCTTAGGAGGATACAGTCGCTCTTGGAGAAGCGAGAGGAGCAAATGAAACAACACAGTTATATGAAAGGTCTCTGACCCTTGATCACCATGGAATTGGTTTCAGTCATCATTGTTTGATCTTGGATTGGACACGACCCTGAAGCGAAATTGCTTCAGCCAGAGTTGAGGGTGGGTGGGAGTTAAACCTTGAAGACCAAATAGAAGAGAAGGCAAGTAACAGCTGGAACAGCCACCGAGGCAATCATCTTTGCCCTGGCTTGAGCCAGACAGAATAAAATGTTAAATATCCCAGGGAACAGGAAATGGGAGCTAGGATCAGATCTCTGATGCTTCCATTGACACCCCTCCCTGCAGACCTCTCCCCACAGTAGCAGAAACTTTTAAATCTAATTTTCCCATCCTCACACTGCCAGTATTGTAGCAATGCAAGCCAAGTTCAACAATTCAGCATGCAGATGCCAAGGTTCCTCTAGAAAAAGAGTCTGATCCTCAGATTAAAGGCAAATCATTTGTGTGTGTGGATCAATGGGCTCCAGATTATATATGAAGCCGAACTCTAATCCTCTGCAAATCGCAAAAGAACGCTACCTTTTTATATCGCTGTATAGTTATTAGTTTCCTCCCTTGGAAATAGTGGAAAGCTATTTAAAAAAAAAAAAGGCGACCATTCAGAATATTTTCAGTACCAAGAAACAGTGGTGGCAGAAGAAATCTTATTTTAATTAGGCAACTGCCATTTCCCCAGCGAGAGCAGTAGATATTTGTTACTTTTTATAAGTGTTTAATGTTTGTTTTTAAGAAACTAAAAAAGCAATTCCAATAAGTCTGATTATTCCAGCACTGACAGCAGGAACAGCTCTGAGGCAGTTATAATAACCTTGCACACTACTTGAAACTAAAGAAGGTGAGAGAAAATTTAAATTGTATGGTAGGAAATTAGGTCAGCCCTGTGCTCAGTCGAGTAACGCTTTAATTTCCTATTATTGACAAGTAGGTGTTGCAGGGGTCTTTTGTCATAGCTGATAATTTTATATTTTAATTTGCCTCAAGTTCCTATCACAGTCTTCAATAAAAGGGAAAAAAATATTGTGGGTTTTGTGAATAAGAAAAAGTGGAGAAATCTTAGGTGAAAAGGGAAAAAAATATTGTGGGTTTTGTGAATAAGAAAAATTTGAGAAATCTTAGCTTGAAAACTGCTCAGAGAGGCATATCTGATGCCAGGTTTTGGAACCAGCAGGGCCAAAATCAATAACATTTTTTGAAAGATTTAAGGAGCGGTTTAAGGATATTTATGACGTCGATCTCTCTGTTAATACAGGCTTGTGATCTATGTTGAATAAAAATATTGTGGGTTTTGTGAATAAGAAAAATTTGAGAAATCTTAGCTTGAAAACTGCTCAGAGAGGCATATCTGATGCCAGGTTTTGGAACCAGCAGGGCCAAAATCAATAACATTTTTTGAAAGATTTAAGGAGCGGTTTAAGGATATTTATGACGTCGATCTCTCTGTTAATACAGGCTTGTGATCTATGTTGAATATCATTGTTCTCAGGAAGGCTGATGTACTCATTAGCGTGTGAACAGGTCTCAGAATTTCCTTTATTGGTTGGACATGGTATATGGGGAGTGTGTTTCCCATGTGGAAAGTGAGGTACAGAATAGAGACAATTACCAAGAACAGTACCACCCACTCTTCATCCCCATCTCCCTAGCCCAGTATATTTTTCTATGTTGTCTGCCTATTCCAGGTAAGTCTGAGTTGCTTCTCCTAGAGACTTTAAGTATTCTCTACTGTTTTTGAAAACAGGCACAGAGTAAAGAAATAGCTGTGAAATCTGTATTGATCACAGACCAAAAAAAAAAAATCGCTTTGTCCGACAAGGTAGATTATAGACAGGAGTTCTGCTTGTCTCTGCTTAACCAATGCAGCCAGTTCATATGCATCTTTCCTGTCTATTTGGAGGGTTAAATATTTCCCAGTAGGGCTTTGGGTTCGCTTCAGGTAGAAAATACCCACATTCAGCGACATGCATATTTAGTTTATCATGGAGTTACCAAAATAATTTGAAGCTCTTTCCGCTATGTTGCCAAGCATTTGAAGAGCTAAATGATTAAAAGATTATTTTTCTAGTTTTGAGGATTAGTCACACCCTGTATTCTTTCCTTCTTTCCACTTGTGCTCACCTCTTCTGCTTAGTACCGGCTAGCAACTGAAGTGAAACTGAGACCGAAAAAGTGAAGTCTAAATCTGTTTTTCTAGTTACTTTGCATTGCTTAAAAAGAAAAGGTTTGTGTGTGGGGGGGAAGAAGGTAAAAGGACTGGTTTCTGGAACTGTTCGAGGAGTTCGTTTATCTATGTTACTCAAGTCCTCCAGAATTACAGGTAATCACCATGGAATTGAGGTTTAGAATTTCGTCTTTGAGTAAAGGGAATTTCAGTTTTACTGAGGACTGACAGGTTAAAAAATCATTTCTACACCCTTTTCAGACATGGAACCTCTAAAATAAATTTCTTAAAAAAGGTGGAAGTGTAGGTATGTCAACAATCAGGAGGGTGGGTTTTTTTCTTTTTTTTTTGAGGTAGGTAGGGAGCTATGTGACGCTCCCATTCATTCTCTCTATGTGAGATTTTCTTGTAAATTGTGTGTGCCTTTCTCTTTCCTTTTAGAATCGTATTTGCTACAAGTTTATTTCTTGCCCATGTTCCTTCGTTTTGAAGTCTATTCCAGATGGTGGCTTTTCAGGATGGTTCTCTGTTTCTGTTTGGTTACATCTATCTGTTCAGCTGAGCGTTTTTTTCTGCAGATCTATTGAAGATGCTACAGTCCTTTGAAATGTCCTGGAGAAGGGACGTTGTTATTATGCAGTGTGCCCAGTAGGGGCCTTAGTGTGGACACGCGTGCGCATCCCTGTTTCCCTTCTCCCTTCCTCGCTCCCTGGCACTCCCATCTGGATGGCCTTTAGAAATAGAGGAGGCCAGAATGTAGAGTGGTTTCAATAGAAGGTAACCTTTCCTTGCTCTGTGCTTGTATATGGAATTGGTACACATTCACTTTCTGAGCTAAAATCGCCTGAGAACAAGCAACACTTTTTCCATGAAGCTGCAAGCTGCAGCCTCCTTGTGCTCTGCATATAAAGTACGAGTCCCGCCCACCCCTCCTCTAGATCATAAACCAGCTTGACCATGGGGTTTCCTAAACCACCTAAAGTGTAGACCGCATCTCCTCCTCTATCTTCTGCCTTAAGACTTGGATGTCACTCTGGTACAGTTCCTCAACTGAGGGAATGCCCTTGTTGCACTCCTCACTTGTGAATTGTCTTCGCAGAAAAGTAAAACAGAAATGAACATATTTGGGAGACAGTGAAACAGCCCTTTGCAGGGAAACATTTTCTTGCAAATTGATTTCAGTAGCCTTCACTGTTCAATCACTGAACGGTAAATATCACAGACGTGGTCTTTGAAGTTGTGTAGTCTGGATAATTTCCATATATCTTTGTGAGATTTATGGTTGTATTAGATTTATCAAGCCACCCTAAATGTCTCTCCTTTTTTTACTCATTTTTTTTTTTGAAACAGAGGTAATGAGTGTTGAGTGTCAGTTTTGTTTTTCACGAAGGGTCTCATGTTCGAGTGACTAACCACAGTTGGAGCCACATCCATATTGTGATCACCTAATAAAAGGCTTGTTTTTAGTGATAACAAAAATGATGATGTACTCAGTACCAAAAGGTTCCTGTCACTTCCCAATGTCAGCTAATCCTTTAACACTCCCAGGTGAGCAATCTCACCCCAAATTTTACAGCTAGTAGGATAAGGAGCCCAGAAATTCAAAACCTGTGCTAAGGCCAGGTTGCTGCTTCTCCAAGCTTCTCTTTCTGTGTGAGGTCTCTGGACACTCCGGTCCCTGTGACAGTCCCAAATTTAAGCCATTTCTCCTCTCTTCATTCCCACTCTTCACCCCAAAAGCTTATGACTAGGCCTTGTATATGAGTACCAAAATATGGCTCACTGCTGCATTTTACTGTACGAGAGCCTGTCCTGTAAGCCTCCCAGACTGGAAATACGATGCTATGGTGATTTATGTAGATGAGCCAAAGTAAGGAAAAGTATATATAGTTATCTCTTTCAGGTTTATTCATGTAATTGAATGAGGAACAAAGGTGTTTTGTTCTTTTAGTGGCAGGAGCTGAGAGCTGGCAGCCACACTTGAAGAAATGGAAGAGAATTGTGAATGCTTTATTCAGGCCCAAGTAAATATAGGAAGAGGTGTAGTGGTGTATGGAGTACTGAGTTAAAACAGACATTCTGAAAGTAATGGGAAGAGGAACGTATGATATATTAGTTGGGCACTGTCTATCCACCTTAAGCTGAAATGAAATGCAGGTATCATGGATATGAGATCGCATATGTAGAAGAAAGAGTAATGGAATAGCGTCAGGGACAGTGAAAGCACATGAGAAGTGAGGTGATTTATATTTATTGAATTAATGTCCGATATCTCTTTGACAGAGTTGAATAACAATCAATTATCAACCCTTTCGACGGGTTCCACCACATTGGATGGGTGAAGAAATCCTGATATTCGATTATTGATTGCCTAACAAGGTCAATTTATAATAGCAGAAGTGCAGTCTACTTTGGGGTACAAAAAAAGAAACAAATTCTAAGACCAAAAAATGTTCATATTGCTTTTCCCTTTGAAAATGAAGACAGGGGCTTCTCTGCTGGTAAGATAAACGTAATTCACGGCACTATGGAAGTCCTTTGAAGTAAAGATGCCGAATGATTCAAAAGAAAACCTTGCTGTATTTTCCTTTTCTTTACTATCCATTGTAAATTCTAAAGTCTTTCTTTCTATTTTATGTTTTAGCCATGAGACCCAAACAACTTGCTGGGACCATCCCAAAATGACAGAGCTCTACCAGTCTTTAGGTAAGGATATGGCCATGTTTCCTGCAGGTTGAATGACAGCTACACTTTTAGGATAAAATAATTTATGGTGTGCAAGTCATTTGTTGTAGAAAGATATCACTCGATTGTTTCAAGGGGGAAAGAAATGGCACCTTTCTATCCACAATTGACCATCGTCTGTCTTTTTCTCCGAGGTTCTTTAAAAATAACTTTTAGAATTTCATTGATTCCTGAAAAATTCAATATACCTGAGAGGGCCATAAAGGTCTTTGTCGTTTTCTCTGCTGCCTAAAAGGATAGAAAAACACTTGCAATTTACAGCAATTTTTTTTTTCCCATGAACAAAGAAAACTGTTTCAAGTTGTTCTTATTGATTTCTTCCGTGTGAAACCAAGACAACGCTTTTGCCAACCCACGAATTGTTGTGTAAAGGAATTTTCTGCCATCTTTCCGGTGCTAATAATTACTAAGGCTTGGTAGGTCATTAGTGTGCACATTTAAACGGTTTCTCTACCACTGTATACTTTCTGTGTTTGTGTGAGAGCCTGACAGGTTTTTTTGTCCCCCTCAAAATTTGGAATTTTTTGAACAGGAACACAGCATACAAATAAGAGGGAAACACCTATCTTATTTTAACACTTGAGAAAGATTCATTCTGTTGTTTTAGATCTGTAGAAATAGTCTAATATGAATTCTCTTACATTGCGGCTAGATTTGTTTTGTTTTCATTTAAAAAGTTAGTCATATCTTCTGAAGTCGACATTTTGTAAATGGGCATATTTATACACTGAAATGCACCAGGTAATCTTTTTGGGTGTAAGTTACATGATGTCAGGTGAAATGGAAATGCTTGAAAGTCCAGCTACTCAGGAGATTGAGGCAGGAGGATCAGGAGTTGAAAGTTAGCCTGAGTGGCATAGTGTGTCCCTATCACAAAGGAAAAGAAGGGGGCTGGCAGGTAGCATGGTGATTGGGGATGCTAGATTTCCACATGACTGACCATAGTTCGAATCCCAGACATGGCAGCTTGCTCTCTCACTTTCTCTCTCTCTCTCACTCTGTCCCTCTCTGGTCAAGTTAAGGTAGATAAATAAATAAAGTTAATTTAAAAAATTCTATAAAAAAGAAAAGAAAGTTGCATGATAATGCTCATAGGAATCAGATATATATATATGCAGAGGTGTGTGTTTGTGCATGCTGTAGCTATTATGGCTTTTTGTCATAGGTCCTCATTGGTTAATGAATTACAGGTATATAGACACTAAGTGATAGGCGATATTAGCCAAAAAAGGTGTTTTATTGAACTTTTTAAAAATGATAAATAATGCACATTTCTTCTAGAAAACCTGAAAAACATAAATAAAAAAGCATAAGAAAGAAAATAAGTCATCTATAATTTTACTACCAAAGATGTCCAATACATTCAAAGTAATATTGGGTCGTCAAAAAAGTCATGATGTATTTTTGCATAGAGAAACATAGAAAAATACATCATGACTTCCAATGACCCAGTATTATGTCATTTCAGTCTAACACGAGGAATGTATGTGTATGCATACACACACACACACACACATGCTTTTAAAAGTTTAAATAAAATTGAGATCAGCTTATCTTCAGGTGCCATTTTCAGCCAATACAGAATGTTTTTGGCTTATCATGCTGGACTGTTTATACCACAGGTGGGAAAGTTCAATTCTTATATTTTGGCAAATCAGAGAATGAAGGCTTCATCTGAAATAAGCATCTGCTGTGCTGGGTGAGCTGGTGTTCCTAGTCTAGTACTCTCAGGACCTCTGATTGTTCATGAGAGCCTAGAAATCTGTCATCAAAGAGCTAATTTAAACTTGTCTGTTGGCTTCCCCATTATCACCTGTGCTTTACACAGATTTATCCCACTTGTAATGTTTTCTGCTCTAATCATAGTCATCTAAGTTGTAATATTTTTAATTTACTTTTATCTAAAACTAATTGTTACTATATAACTCATGCTTGTTCATATTTCTAAAAGTTTAAAAATATAGACAAGGTAACAAACAGAGAAGAGATGTCATCCGTAACACAACTCTTAAGAGTTAACTACGCTGGGACCAGCAGTTAGCGTAATGGCTATGTCGCTGGACTCCCACGTAGTCGACCGCGGTTCGAGTCCCGGACCCGGTGGCTTAAACTCACGCCGGGCGCGTGTGCGTGCGTGCTCAAGATCCCGAGAGGAGAATGGAGGAGAAGGGATTGCGGCGTGGCCATCCCCCCTGGGGGGGTGATTTCTCGCTTTCTGTCTCTCTGTCTCTCTCTGTCTGTCTGGCGAGCGCACACGCCCTATAGCAAAAACCTCTCCAAAAAAAAAAAAAAGAGTTAACTACGCTTAATAGTCTAGTAAGTATCTTTAAAAACTTCCTTCTAGGGCCAGCCTGTGGCCTGGTGCTCAAGGTATCTGGATCCCACATCGCTGATTATGAGGTTCAAGGTCTGGGCCCCATGGCTTGAGAAATACACTGGACATGTGTGTATTACCAAAATCCCAAAAAGAAGGAGAAATGCAGGAGGGATTGTCAGTTTGATCATTCCTCATGGGGTATGCTTTCTGGCTTTCTCTCTTCTGTCTTTTTCTTTCTCATGCACATATCCTCTAGGAATTTTTAAAAATCTTTCTATAAATAAATTTTTATAAAAGTTCAATTATTTAGGCCTGTCCAGTGATGCAGCAGTAATGCACTGTTCAAGACAAACCAGATTCCATATGGCAACCATGGTTCGAATCTCCAAAACAGCCTGAAACAGGCCAGGCATGCATGGGAGTGTCTAAGATACAGTGGGCTAGAGGAAGCTCTCTCATATAACCTACTTTTTTTTTTTTTCACTGAGAAGAAATGTATCAGGGAACCAGCAGATGGCACAATGGTTACATGGCTGAACTCCCACATAGTTGACTACGGTTTGAATCCCAGACCCTGTGTCTTAAACCTCACACTAGGCATGTGTGCACGTGTGCTCAAAATCCTGAGAGGAGAATAGACGAGAAGGGATTGCAGCATGGCCATCACCCCCATCAGGGGGGTGATTTCTCCATTTCTGTATCTCTGTTTCTCCCTGTCTCTGTGGTGAACACACATGCCCTATAGCAAAAATCTCTCTGAAAAAGAAAAGAAAAAAAAATACCATGATTATATTTCCATATCGTTACATAGTACATTCTACTACTTACATTTTTTTTCTTTTTAAAGAATTAGTTTTTTAAATCTTTCTTTATTTATTCTAATTTGACCAGAGAGGGACAGAGCAAGAGAGAGAGAAAGTGAGAAGGCAAGCTGCCATGTCCAGGCATGTGGCAGTCCAGCATGCCACCACGCCCCCTGCCGGCCCTCTGCCACTTACTTTTAATTACTCCATACTAAGAAATTATAGACATGGTTGATAGAAAGCTAATTATAAGCTATCAATAAAAAATGTTTATACCTTCTGTAAGAATTAAATACACAGTTATTTGTATTTCTAGAATTTTCTCAGTAGCTTGGGCATAGTGGTAAAGCCAAAGCTGGTAATCTGGCATGGTTTTTGACCTTTTACAAATCACTCGAGTTTGGAACATAATAGAATTTTGCAGTTGGAGGGGATTTTAGAGCTCCTTTACTGCAAACTTACTCTTTTATTAAATCAACTTTATTAAGATATAATTTACATATAATAAAATGGAGCCATCATAGTTGTGTGATCAAGTCCAACCCCCTTTGAAATTCTGATTTTTTGCTAGCCTGATAAACATATTACAAATGAACTAGATGTAGAAATTTGCTTTTTAATTTTCAGAACTACTATGTTTTTATTATATTCAAATATTCCTTGGACTAACTTTTCCAAATGGTTACTCACCAAATAACACCTCTCATTTATTGAGGCCTACTGTGTGCGTTGCACATGTAACATGCATGGTAGGTGGTCTCAGCATCACATCTCACAGGACAGTGAAGTCAAGTTCAGAGAGACATTGAACAGGATGAAACAGCTATGTGGAGCTATACTGGGGTTTGCTCGGGTCTTCTGTTAGTGTTTTCACTGATCTCATTGACTTTATTCTCTCAGTAAAGTCTGTCCATATTGGTTACTACATACCTCCTACAAATAAGAGGGGACCTTGAAAAGTTGGTGGGAAAATGAAATTAAAGTACAAGTTCATTTTGGTCCCCAATTTTGTGTAAGATTCATGCATATTTTAAAAAACACTATATGTTTTTCATCATCTTGTTGCAAACTCCTTGTATGTATGTATAGTTTTACCTATGGATAGAAAGTTATTTGAATAGTCTTTCTGGAACAAACCATGATATTTTTGGAAATGCTGTGGTGTATTCCCAGACAGCAGGCACTTTTTTCACTGTTGCCTAGCATACCCGGAATGATTTAGTTGATTGTATTTCTTTGTCTGTGAGATGACCTACAAGATTAAGTATCAGTGCTGCCCCTTCCCCACCAAAATAATAGTGTTTTCAGGTTGAAATATAAGCATAACATAATGAGAAGAACCTTTTATTTCTTTTTAGTTTTTATTCATTTGCTCATATTATTCTTTTTTAAGAGGTATCCCTTTAGGCCCAAGTTGCTATTTTGAGCTGGGTGGAATGGTTGGAAGCCTTTAACTATACTCAGTTCACGAAAGCTATCATAAAAGCTGAAATAGTGTTGTGGTCTGGTGTGTCAAATGTTTTAGACCATATCTAGCGCGCTCTCTCTCTCTCTTTTAAGATTTCTGTCATAGGGCACATGTACTCACTAGAGAGACAGAATAGGAAAGTGAGAAATCACCATCCCTCCACAGGGAGGATGACCTCACCACAATCCATTCTCCTGGGATTTTTGACATGCACACACATATGCCAGGAGTGATTTTCAAACTTCCAGGTCTAGTCCAATAACTACAGTTGGCCATGTGAGAGTCTAGCATTGTACCCACTATGCCACCTGCTGGCCTCATCTAGCCCTATTTCTTTTTTTTTTTTTCTGAGAGGTTTTTGCTATAGGGCACG